AATGACAGGAAATTCTGATGAAGAGATTAATCTTCATCCTAGAAGTATATCTACCCTCTCTCCTTTCTGCTGTGGACAGAAAGGACTCTTCCTCAGAACCCAAAAAGGCTGTGGTCAAATGGGGCCTGGTGGTGCCTTGGGATGCTAGTGGGCAGGAGGATCACGTGTTCCAAGTCAGTGTGGTCTGTGTGAGGTCCTATCTCAAACAAACGTGAGTGGAACACATTGCTGTTATTCCTCTGCAGCTCCTTAGGTGATGAGGGGCCTGCGGAGAAAGCAAGCTATTCCCTGTAGTCGGTGCTCAGGGAGAATCTGGGAGGCCCCACAGGGAAGATGGCTGAGGAGGAAGTTAAGGGTAGGAAGAAGAGGCCCCTGCAAACAGTCAGGGAGCCACATACACAGCTGTCGGTCTCTGTAAGAGAGGGAGGGGTCCCGGCTCCCAGAGGGAGAAACAGGTGCTTAACCCTCAATACCACAAGAAGCATCTGGAACAGGGAAGCTAAAGGATTGTTTGCTTCACAACCACACACACTGACACTTCTGCGTTCAGAGCAGTAAATTTGGTGAGATCAGGGAGAGGAAGGACAGTGGCTAAGTCGAAAGTCGGGGAGACTGGTCAGGGCATGACACGTTACGTGAAACAGCAGGGATCTGGAAGGGTTGATGATCTCGGTGTCCCACTGACAGGCCCTCACTGATTCCTTAGACACAGTGAGTAGAAGCTGAAGAGGGCAGGCATCCTTAAGTCTGTCTGTGGCACTAGGTGGATGTAGGAGCCATTGGCGTGGAAGGGCCTTTGAGTGTCAAACTGGGCTATGATGGCAGGTGTAACAGCCCAGCTGTCCACAGAGGGACATGTCTTGAGTTGTGCAGTTGTGCGGTACCCATCGACCACAGACCATAGCTGGATGTAGACACAGCCTAGACCTTGGGGGCTTCCCCAAGGGTACCACTTCAGGGGAAGAAAGGATGGGTATCCAGTAAGGGGAGAAGCTACTCTCGGGTCGCTTCAGATGGCCATACATGATCTGGGGCTGGGAGAGGGTGGTGACCCAGGTCACACGATGGGCTACAGAGTAGGCACAGGGATGGGCACGCTAAGGAGACTGTCTGTTGTTCCTAGGAGATGGTATTGGGAGATTGGTGTGGCCTCTTCACGTGGACCCAGCCAGAGTTCTCACACATTTGCATTCTTACCACTAGAGAAAATAACACAAGAGCCAAGGAGAGAGCCTTGAACTTTCAAAGCTGAGCCAGATAGTCTGAAGACAATGGCGTGTGTGGGCTCTGGACAGAGCACTCAGGGCTATGAGGGAGTCTCCTTTGTTTTTTGCCCTTTGAGTCGCCTTTGAGGGCTGATATCAAAGCCTTTTCCTCTCATTTTGTTTGTAGTTTTGTAGCAATGTGTCCAGGCTCAGTCCTCTTCCTGGGAGTGTATCAGTGTCCCCAGGCTAACATGGCTTTTTAAAAATAGTTAACAAAGGGGAATGTTTTTCAGAGACTAAGGCATCCGTACCTTCAGAGAAAAGAGTCGCTGCAGGATCCTGCCTGAGTTCTTGCTGAATGTGATGTGGTGGCCACACTGGAGCTAAGCCCCTCCCTCTCCGTAGGTGCCCCCATCTTGCCTTCTGTGCCTCAGAGACCCCATGACAATGGTCGCCTATGGATAGTTAACATGGCTCCTCTCTCTGGCTCATTCCAAGCTCAAATCTTGAGAGCTGGGTCCCAATCGCATTTCCTGGCACACCACAAAAGAGGCCTCTTGCTCACAGAACCCGAGGTCCAAGCGCCTTTCTGACAGTTTCCAAAAGGGTCTGGTCCAGTGGAAACAGCTTTATGCTTGCATTTAGACTTCAGGACTTTCTCTCCCACTGATGCTGCCTTTTTTCCCTTGTATGATGCACAGAGGGCAGGACATGCAAGCTTGAGGACCTGAGTTTCATCTTTATGAAAAGTCGGGCATGGTGGTGCTCACCTGTAACCTCAGCCCTGGGGAGACAGAGAGCAGACAGGTGATCTTAAACATGAGATCCCCCGCCCCAGCACCCCATGTGCTTCAGTTATGGGTATGCACTCCCACGCATGATCAGGATGTCAGAAATGTCTATGTGTGGTCTTTTCTCATTGGAGCCACTTGTTCATGTGGGTTGAAGATCCTTCACTAGGGACTTGAGGATGAGTGGATTTTCTTAAGTTTCAAGAATGGATTTTGGGCGACAGCTGAAGACACGAAGATCACTTCCCCTCTTGTGTCGCATCTGAACTGACAGAGCCACTTGGCCCTCTGGTATTCTGCTGCTAGCCACGACACCAAGACACTCAAAGTGCCTGGAAGTCAAGGGTGGCCTTCAGGTGCTCGCTACTACTGCCCTGGTCACAGATGCGCACTGACCTCTACACTGCTCTTCCAGGGGGAAGCGTGTCAGGAAGCCCAGGCTGCTCCTTCTCTGTAGTGACTCCAGGACACTGCCTGGCTGTACGTTGTTGATACCATAGGAAGCGCTGGGGTGGGAGAGGAATGAACCCCTGCCAAAGTAAACCCAGGGGCTACGCGAGCTCTCTTTGATTCAGCATGCTATTTGTGGACCAGAATACATATTTATTCTTTATTTTCCCCAGTGAAACACACTGTGCCTTGGGAAGCAGATTAGTGCTTGCTTGTTTTTCCGTGCTGTTTTTCATTGCGTACCTGGCAGTAAAGGGATGTTTGAAGCTAGCACGAGGAGGTTGTTGGTTGAGCTGTGTTTCTACCTGAGGGGAAAAAAATTTAATGTCATGAAATTAATAACTACCATATGGATAGGGATTGTCTTTCTTCCAAGCAAGCAAGCAGTAAAAAAAAAAAAAAGAGCCCAGAATGGCTGAGGTGACAGGACACCTGCTGGCCCCTGGAAGAGGTGGTGGAGCCTCAGGTAGTCCTGATCCAGAGTGCAGGTGATGCCCCCGAGCCTGGCAGTCCTCTTGGCTTGCTGATGCTGTGTGATGTGGGCAGGCTCACCTCTGTGGTGGAAAGAGCAGGTGCAGGCACAGGCGGCAGCTCCCATTCTTCTGTGAAATAAACACCGAGGGTCTTTTGATATGCCGAGAGCTCTTCTAGAGACTCGGCAGAACTGTCTTTAATCTGATGGAGTTTGAATCCTAGGAGGCTGATAACAAAGGCTAACAGAGGGAGAGGGATCCCAGGACACATTGGGTCCATTGGGCTGAGAGGTCACAAGAAGAAACAGTAGGGATAAGGAGCCAAGTGTGACAAAGGGTGAGCACTCTGTGATGGGCCATTGCCAGAGACCCAGGAAGGGATGAGCTGCAGGGCCATCTGAGGGTGGAGAATCACAGGAAGAGGCCGGAAGCTGGAGGCTCAGCCTGATGGAGCAGGGTGAGGTAGCTGGAGGCCAGGATACCATGTGGGGTGATGTTTTTAGGGAGGTTATCACGGAGGCCCCAGGTCACCACAGTCACTTGGCTAGTGGAGCGGAGTGAGGCCGTGTACCCTGCTAAAGGCACTTCTTTCTCCTTGGCCCCACAACCAGGTGAGGCATCCGGAAACACAGTCCAGGCCCTGGCAAGTGAACATGCCATCTGTTTTTTTCCGGTAAAGTAGAGCAGACAACATACATGAAGGGCATACAACAGAGGGGTGTCTGGGGCAATCAGGTGGCGAAGGCAGGCATTCTTTTTCCAGGTCCTCTTACTTTGTACTGTATCCCTTCCTGAATGTCAAGGGACTCAAGGAGTCCAAGGGGAGGACTACCACGCTCCTCAGAGATACCCACGTCTTAATCTTCACCCTAAGGATGTGTGATTTGGCCTTAGGGACTCTGCAATGGGGTGAAAGACATTGTTATGAAGAACTGATCCTGGGTTGTGTGTGGACTTCAGATAATCAGGAGGGCTCTCTCTGGAGGGAGGCCGTAGGGTTATATCACAGGAGGAGGAGGATGATTAATTCCTTACCAGCCTGGGGCTGTATACTGAGTCTCTCCAGGGCCTCTAGGAAGAACGGGCCTTGCCCACACCCTGACTACAGCCTTGGTCTTCCTGAACTCTGAATGGACTTGGGGTTCTTCAAGCCCTATAATGTGTTATAGGGGCCCTGGGTTTGACAATGAAGAAGAAGATATTGGTCTCACCCTCTGTGTTGCTGAGGACTCTGGATGGCCCTAGCCATGATGCACAGAAGACATCCATGCACAAAGAGGAGAGAACAGAGCTGAGAAGCCAGACAAAACAATTCGAGTGTAGGTGATTCGCTCAGTCTTTTTTAATTTGCTTAGGATTTTGTTGGTTTTGTTTTTTTATTTTGTTTTGTTTCCGAGACAGGATCTCACTATGTAGCTCTGACTGTCCTAGAACTCATTATGTAAATCAGATTGGCCTCAAACTCACAAAGATCCATTCCCCCACCCTCACCCCCACCACCTGCCTCTCTGGTGCTGGAATTAAAGGAATGAGCCACCACCTCTGGCAACTTGCTCAGTCTTGAAGGCCATCTTGTACCTTGAAGGCCATCTGTCTTGGGTCTCCTGAGATGGCCTTGCCCAGGGTTCTACCCTATGAGCTTAAGTTTCTGTGTGTGTGTGTGTGTGTGTGTGTGTGTGTGTGTGTGTGTGTGTGCATGTGCACACGTGAATGATTTGGGTATTTTGGTGCATATGAGTGTACAGATGCAAATGTGTACTTTTTGCATGTGCAGGTCAGAGGGTGTCACATCAGTCCTCAGATACATTCCACATTTTGTTTGAGACAACAAGACTTCTCTTTGTTCTGGAATTTTATGACATAGTCCTGACTGGCTGCCTGCAAGCTCCCAGGAATGCCCTGCCTCCACTTTCCACATCACCTCCACTGAAGTTTACAGGTGCACCCTTTCTGGGCAGATACTGGGGATCTGAACTCAGGTCCTTATGGCCTCAGGTAAGCTCTTTGTAGGCTGAGCTGTCCCTCCAGCCCTGTTTCAAGCATTTCCCTTACTTGCAACAAAAAAAGCAGGTTTACTGGAGTAATGATCTCGTCTTCTTTTTAATCCAGGTGTCACATCACATGATACCCCTGCAAAATGCACACCTCGTTTTCACTCCATTCTGCCTATCTTTGCAGACGTCATCCTGTGTTTAGGACCTCATTCCCACCCTAGTGGCCTGGAATGACGCACGGACTTTCCGGTCCAGGAGAGGCTGGAGTGGGCGGTAGTTGTTCACCATTGCCTCTTCTTCCTCACCACGTCCAGAAAACAAGAGAGTGCGGAATGCTGCCAGCTGGAACAGAGGGCAGCCAGAGTGAGCTGAAGCCAGCCTGGAGGGGGACAGGTGCCAGGTATCTCCTCCCTACGTGACCAACATAACACAGTATAATGGACCAGTGACCCCAGAAGGTTCGTTAGCGGCACCGTAGCTGTCATCTTGTTGGGACTGGAGAGCCCAGAGTCATGACAGAACCCCAGTAGCCCCATAGAAAGGCCACAGAAGGGTACTGAGGCCCAGCCAATAGCCAATACCAACTTGTCAGCCATGGAGTGAGCCACATAGGTAGGGAAGGAGTCTTTTGGGTGCCATGATATACACCCCCCCCCCCCCCCCCCCAGCCCCCACTGAACTGTGATGAGTTGGGCAAGAACTCAGGTCCAAGTTGGTATCACTTTTGTTCTTACACGGACTTTCCCAGGCACACTAGCTGCGACCTCAAGGACCTCAAGGAGGTCCACACCTGGACCTCAAGGACGATGATGTTTACTAGCCCCATCGATACCCCGAGTGTGATCATGGGAGCCTTGTACTCAAGACTCTCACGCAAACGGAAAATCCTTCTAGCCATTCAGGAACATCCGAAATGTGCCAGTACGGCTGGGGAGGTGGTTCAGTCAGTCAAGCGCTCGCCTTGAGTTCGAGCCTCGGGATGCATGAGAAAAAGGCTGGCGTGATGGTGTGCTCAAGCAATCTCAACTCTCAGGGGTGGGGAGACAGATCCTGGGGCTAGTCAGCCAGCCCAGCCTAATGTATGAGTTTCAGGCCAATGAGACAGCCTGCCTCAAAACACAAGATGAGTGGTACCCAAGGTGTGACTTCAGACCTCCACTGCACATGCAAGAGATGTACCAGAGGATGGAATCTAGTGATGCCCTGCCACGACACTTTGATGAAGACGGAGGTCAAAATGACCTCCTTCGGAACTGTGACTCGGCTGCAGCACTCACCTGGCTTGGAGCCACCTCAATGGGCATCTTCTGGATAATCCAGGTGACTGACTCAGCTAGGGGTGGGGTGGTGAGGGAGCCAGGATAGGTCCAGTAATCCTGGCAGGCAGGCAGCAGAGAAGACGGGTCAAAGGGGCCCACAGCCACCTGTGTATCCTGAGGACAAGAATCACAGCCCTGTCAGGGGTTCCGCATAAGAAGGCCAGGAAGAGGCCCATCTTCCCATGGCTCTGATGGACAAAAAAGCATGAGGAAGAATGGCTACATGACCACCATTGTTGTACGTGGAAACAGAAAGAAAAGATGATTCTTCTTTACAAGATAGGGACTCCTACCAAATAGTTATATTTCTCTTTAAAATTAAGCCTCTATATATACCTTGACTGGGAAGATATATATATATATATATATATGTGTGTGTGTGTGTGTGTGTGTGTGTGTGTGTGTGTGTGTGTGTATGTATGGCCTTTTTTGCCATTTTTCAAGTGTGCAATTTGGGGGTATTAAAGACATTCACATCATGTAGCCACAGTCCACATTTATCTCCAGAACTTTCTCTGCCTCACTAAACACTGACTCCTATTTTTCCCTGACCTCTGGGAACCACAGTCTACTTTCTAACTCTAAACCTGGAGACCCGTGGACGTCAATGTGTCTCCTTCACGCGGCCCTGGCTGACCTCGAACTCACAGAGATCTGGGATTAAAGACCTGTGTGTCCACAAATGGCTTTGCAGCTGTCTTCGTGCCTGACTTATTCCAATGGACATTGTGTCCTAAGGGTCTACCCGCAGTACAGCAAGTGTTAGAACAGCCTTTCTTCCTGACTTTGTTTCTCTCCCTGCTTTTGCTTGTTTGTTATGGGCCTTTTGTTTTTGTTTTTTGAGATAGGGTTTCTCTACGTAGCCCTGGCTGTCCTGTAACTCACTCTGTGGACAGACTGACCTCGAACTCGGAGATTCACTTGCCTCTGTCTCCAATCTGAGAGCTGGGATTAAAGATGCGAGGCACAACACCCAACTGTGACAGGGTCTTATGGAGCCCAGGGTGTCTTCGAAATCTCTGTGTTGGGCAAGGATAATTTTGAACTCCTGATCCTCCTGCCTCTACCTCCTGAGTTCTAAGATTACCGATGTGAACCAGGATGTTCTGTGTGTCCTTCTGTGTTATGGCCTGATGGAAAGCGTCCACCATGTGGCTGGCCCATGTTTCATTTGCATTCACCCACGCTGGACATTTGGCCTGCTCCCCCATTTTGGTTATTTTAAAGAATACTTCTGGAATGTTTGCTTCACGGCTACTTTATCAGGGTCTATATCCATATCCAAGATGACCGGATCAGAAAGACATTTTTTTGTTTTTAATTTAAGACCCCCCAAACATGTGTTTCCAACAGTGGCTGCATTGACCAATCTCTTAGTTTTAAAACAACTGCCTGTCTCCCTCAAGCAGCCTGACTCTAAAACTGGACGCGCTGTGGGACCCTCCCCCACCCAGCCTCATGTTCTCTCTCACAGGGAGCAGGTGGTTGGAGCAGCTCACGCTCTCCGCCCTCCTAAGACAGTTGGAGTCAGCCTGGCCTCCGCCTCAGGCCTTGTGTTCCCAGTTGATGCTTGCTTGCTTCCTGGGTTTCAGAAAGCCTCTCTGAGCTCTCTTGGGATGTCACCGTCTGTTTGCTCATTCATGCACGCACACATGCATTCACTAGTGTTTGTCTGAGCCCCTGTGAACCTAGCTTTGCCTCGGGTGTCAAGGGTACAGATGCAGAAAAGCGGACAGGACTATTCCCTTCTGTGGAGCTCGCGTGGGATAAATAAGCATCAGCACTTGGCACTGGGGACTTTGTGATGGAGAAAATTAGCAAATTAGGGGAGCAGGGTGAGGTGGGAGGCAGTGGGTATTTTGACAGGCATGGTCCCAGAGGCCTAGTGGGTGACATCTGAGGAAAGACACAGAAAGGCACCAAGGAACAGACTGTGACTGTTCTATCTGTTGCAAATGTCCTGAGGCAGAAGCAGTCAGATGGACCTGAGGAACGCCAAGAATGTGGTGTGGTCACAATTAGTGACTGAAGTGCAAAGCAAGGAGCGCAGGAGGGGTGGCTCAGTCAGGACAGAGCTTGCCTGGCAAGCAGGAGGCCCTGAGCTCTACCCTCAGAACACACGTGAAAAAACTGGGCAGGATGGTGTATGCTCACGCAATCCCAGCCAGCACTGGGGAAGTGGAGACGGGCATCTCCCTGGGGCTCGCGGTCGGGCCAGCCAGCCTGCTTCACCTACACTGTGAGCTCTAGGACACCGAGAGACTCTTCCTCCAAAGCTAAGGTGGGCAGTGGATGGCACCTAAGGAACAGCACCCGAGGCCTCCACATATTCATGCGTACAAAGTCAATATCAGAAGAGGTGACAGAGGAGAAAAGCCAGCAGAGAGGGACACCTTGCCTCAGCCAGGGACTGGGGATCCCTGTGAAAATCCACCTCGACAGCAGGAGTGCCAGCTGCTCACTGCCTGGATTTGCTCATCCTATGAAGATATCACCACTCAAGGGTCCAGAGACTGAGGTCCCTCCTCCCCATGAGCCTCCATGGCCCAGGGGTCCCTAGAGTCCTCAAGCAAGTAGGTCCGGGACAGCGACCTCCACATTGGTGAGGGTGAGAGACAGAGACTATGAACCCAGTCAAGACCCTTTAGACCGCAATACTGAGTACTATGCAGGGTGTCAGGGATCCTGCTGATTGAGTCCCTAGCTCTAGGGTCCAAGGTCTAGATCCCAGACCCCAGGTAGTCCATCCTGCTTGAGCAAGGACATTGTATTCTCTGCTGGGGAACCACAAGGGTGTAGTCCAGAGCTGCAGCGAACCATCCTCAGGGACGGGCTTACTGAACAGGTGAGCCACAGAGATTTGAGCCCAAGGCCACCTGACCTCCACCTCCTTTCTCTCTCTCCCATCCTCCCTAGAGCCATCATGCTTCAAGCCTTTTAAAGTCTGACAAGCTCCCCAAGGTAGGAACACTCTTTGAGTCCATCTTAGACAGTTCTGAGTTTAGCAATGCTTCTGGAGACATCCCGTCCTGGACCACAGCCCCACCCACCCACCCTGTCACAACAGTAGATGAGCCCGTGTGGTGTGAGTCATCCGGACTCTTCAGCCACACCACAGCTGGGCCCGGACCCAGCCCATTTACTTAAGACCAACACTGGGCCTATCTCACGCCCATCTGGGTAACAAGGCCCCCATATATCCTCTCTCAGTATCCAAATCCCATAATAGGGAAATTGGGGCTCTGAGAGGTTAAGTAACTGGCTCAAAGCCACACAGTTTCCTGGCAGATCCAGGGCCTTGGACCCAGGATATCTTGACTGAGGCTCTCCGCCACACACCCCAAACTCCTAGAAGTCCTAAACTTGCAGACAGAGAGCCACAAACAAGAGGTCCTTGAGTGTCTTCCACTTGTTAGCTTAAGGAGCCCTCCAAGACTGGGCCTTTCATGTCTTAAAGTCCTTTTATGTCCTAGAGTCAGTAGGTTATTTTCAGGGGACTTAGCATGATTTGGGCTAGCACTACATCCCAAACCCCATGTTTCGCCTGTGGTCAGCCTATAGGGAAAAGTAGCTCCAGAACCTTCCGAGGAAGGAAAACAGACCCCTGAGTAAACAACACTCCCCAGCCAGCTCCTTTCTTTCCCACCCTCGTGGGAGGCAGAGGCCAGCTGGGAAAACATCCCGCCTTCCAGCTTTGCTCTGGCTGTGGACCAGCACGGAAGAGGGTGAGGAGCTGGGCGCCCGGTACCTTGGCCTTGAGGTGTTCCTGAACGGGCAGACAGAACAGTGGGGGTAGGGGAATCTGTCTCTATCCCAGGGGGCATCTGAACCTCAACATCAAGAGGAGGCAAGAGGCAGATCAAACATTCCTGTGAGCTTTGAGGAAGGGGCGGCCACGCTTTCCTGCAGGGCAGCTCTGACCATTGTTAAGACAGGTGGAAGCCTCCTCTGTCCCCGTGTCCCTATGTCCAATGGCCACCTTGCTTCCCTTTGCCTCAGAATTCTTTGTTGTGGTACTGAATAAATAAACCTATCCCTTTGGAATTTCCATTTTCCCATCAAAGTCCCTTCTGAGTTCGTCTTAAAGAAAAGTGACACCATTACTCTGTCATTTTCTTAAGACGGCCTAACATACCAAGGCACACAAAGAATGCCCAGCCACCTTCAGCATGAACTGGGGCCCTGCCGCCGGTCTGTGCATCACCCAGGCTGCCCCTTCCTCTCCCCAGGTCTGCTCTGCCCTTGGTCTCTGTTAAACTCTTTCTCCAGGGTGTGCTGGTGGTGCATTGGTCTGTGCTTGCACACGCAGCAGGTAGACACTTCTGTCTATTTTAGCAGACATTATCACTACTGGACATTGCGTCTGAGCAAAGCAAGAATAATTAGGATTCCCTGGGTGGCTGGACTTGGGGGAGTCCCAAGTAGTCCAGCACCCTTGTCTCACTGAGGGGGAAATTAGCAGTAATAGACGGAACGTATGTCATTCCTTCTCCTCCCGAGACAGGGCTTCAAGTATCCCAGGGATGACCTTGAACTTCTGATTTTCTTGCTTCCACCTCCCAATATTGCAGCTGTCTCCTGCTACACCCAGTTTATGTCGGTGCTAGGAGTTGAACCCAGGGCTTCACCCATGCTCAGTGAGCTCTCTACTGATGAGCTACATCTGAGTCCTCTTGTTTGTTTTTGAAGGCTCTCATCCTGTAACCCAGGCTAGCCTGGAACTCATTATGTAGTTCAGGTTGGCTTTGAACTTTTGGCAATCCTCTTGTCTCAGCCTTTTCAAGTGCTGGAATTAAAGGCATCTGCCACTCTCAGGGCTCGGCGGGAAAGCTTCCAAATTCAGCTCGTGACAAGAGCCTTAGGACTGGCTCCTCACTTCTCTTCCTAGGACCGGCGTCTCACCCCTCTGCCAAACTCTTTGAATTTTCGCTAGTGAGTCGTTGCTCTGGCAACTTCGGTGCCCACTTTGCTGGTTTCGTGCTTCTTACCTTGTGTTTCACGTTTGGCAAGAGGTCCACCAGCCTCTGCAGAGTCTCATGCCGGGCCCCAAGCTGCACAGCACAGACACACAAGCGTTAGACTGGGAGGCAGTGGACAGTGGAAACACACCTTGCTTCCAGGGGACAGTGTGCAAAAGACTATCTCTTGTGCTTGTTTGCTTTGTCGTTTTTCCACATAGCATTTTTACTGATTGATTCTCTGGGAGTTTCACACCATGCACCCCAATTGCAATCCTTTCCTGGTCCTTCCATGTCCAGCCCCACTTGTGATCTCCCTCCCCAAAATAATAATAATAATAATAATGATGATGATGATGATGATGATGATACAAGCTTTCTCTGTGTTATCTATAAACTCACCGGAGCATGGTCAAATGCTCAGTGGCCTGCCCCTTAAATAGAACTGAGTCCTTTCTCTCCCACCGCTCCTCCAGAAACGATCAATTGTGAGAGCTACCCTTCAGCATCCCTGTCACACTTTCGAAGCGTTCTCTTCAGTGGCTTACTATCTAGACTGTTACTTTGGGGTGTGATGGTGGGGTTGTCACAGAAGCCTTCCGTGTCCCCCCCTGCAAAAGGCCATTCTTGATGACCAAACGCAACCATTCTCAGCGGGAGAGTCACGCCCAGCGGACGTTACCTTCAGAAACACGCCGATCACCGCCAGCCCATTCTCTCCCACGGTGGCTTCCTTGTAATTTTCATATTTCACGGGATTCCAGTGAACCAGATGGAGCTGAAACAAAGAATGTTAACGTGTCGTAACTCAGCAGAAACAGCAGTCACGCCACTCTGTGCAGCATACCCTAGGGTCACGCCAATGTCATGTCACTACATAAAGGGCTGGTGGCCAGAGTTTGGGGGAGCTTCCCACACACAGGTGCCAAGAGCTTCGCAGCGAAGGAGAAGACCTGCTTTAGTTTCTCTTCCTGCCGTGTGGCTGTGAGACAACACCCTAACAGAAGCAACTGAAAAGAGAAAGGGTTTATTTCAGTTCATGATTCAAGGTTATTGTCCACCACGGTGGGGAAGTCAAGGGAGCAGGAGCTTGCGACAACTGGTCATATCATGCCTGCGACACCTGGTCACATCAGGCCCGCAATCAGAAGAGGGGAACAGTGCGTGCATTTCTATCATTTATCATCTCTTCCCACTCACACAGCCTGAACCTTGCCCCAGGGCGTGTTCCCTCCCGCAGTCCAGAAGACTTGGGATGGTGTGCTGGAGAATGTCCCCCACAGGCTCAGGCATTGGGACACTTGGTTCCTAGTGGGTGGTGCTGCTTGGGGAGGTTTAAGAGGGTGTCCTTGGTGGAGGAAGAGGGGAGGGTGTCATTGGAGGAGAGTGTAAAGACCATTTCCAATTTGCTCTTACTGTTTCATGCTTGTGTTTAAAGGTGTGAGCTCTCGGCTTCGGCTCCTGCTGCTATGCCTGTCACTTACTAAGATGACATACATGCCTTTCTGTAATCATAGCCCCCCAAATAAGCCCTTCCTTTTATAATTGACTTGGTCGTGGTGGGGTTTTTGTTTTGTTTTGTTATTGTTTCTTGAGACAGGATTTCATTGTGTAGCCCTGGCTGTATTAGAACTTGCTCTGTAGACCAGGTTGACCTTGAACTCAGAGACCTGCAGGCTTCTGCCTCCGGATACTGGTATTAAAGGTGTGCGCCACCAAAGGTGGTGGTCACAGTGTTTTATTGCAGGAACAGAAAACTAATGGAGACAGAGGTCTTCTCATATTAATGAGCATAATCAAAAGAATCCCCTGCCAACAAAACAGTCACCAGTAGTCATTCCAAGTCTTTTGAGTTGGAAAGCCAGAAATGAGGTTTTTTGATCCCCTGTATCTATGAGTCACTTGGAACAAGGATCACCAGATAAGACACAGGACTGTCAACTTTGGGTTTCTCAGTGAGGTGAATCCTCAGTACGCTACTGGCACCTGACCTTGAACTCTGCCTTGTCTTTATTTTGTAACTCTCCCATTTCCCGGATGTGGGATTATGGACTTCACAGGGTGACATTTTTTTGCAAGAGAATGGGAATGGACAGAGGGAGGGGAGGGAAGAGGGAGGTAGCCTTGACTTCTGGGAATCATGGGCCCTGACTGGAAATTGTAGCCTTAATACTGTGGCTTCACCTAGGGGAGTCTGAGTATGTATCCAGTTGTTCCTTCTCACCCACAGAGTCTACATCTGTTGAACTAATAACGGACAAACTGTTTGGAATAAAAATGCTGTGTCTGTGCTTTCCTTGATTTCCTTGAAATGAAACAAATAGCAACAGCATGTGGTACTCACAGTGTGCTCGTGACCTAGAGGTGAGGATGGTGGACTCAGGATGTGCGTGGGTCCATGAGAATGTGATAGCTTTACCAGAAGCGCTCCAGAGCCCCTTGGATACAGCAGGGACACATGTGTCCCCTAAGCCCAAGACTGGGGTAGAGGCATTTTTAACTGTGCCCAACCACGAGTCCTCAGGGACAAGGACCAGCAAGTCCTTGGCATCATGGTCAGCAAGCTCTGCCTGTTGCCATCCAGGACTCTGCTGGAAACTCTGGGTCCTCACTCCCGGGAAGCATGGACGCTCCTGGCATGGGATCTGGAGTCTAGGACCGACCAGCAGGGTGGACTTGCCCTGTCTCCTCGAGACTTCCTAGATGGAGCCCTCATTTGCATCAGATCTCTTGGCTGAGAGTCTTGGTCTGCAGACCTCTGGCCTCCATTTGTACCGGGCCTGCCTTCCTTCCTCCCTCTTCACCTGCACGTGGTCACAGAGAGGGTCTGGGTGTGAACCAGGGAGGCTGGAGAGGGTCCAAGACCTCTCATTTTAATCAACAATGTTTCAATCACAAGGGCCTTCAGTAGACAAGTCTCTGCACAAAAACAAGGTCGCAGCTAGAGAACTTTGAGGAAGGATTACTAATGGGCGAGGAGGAGACACTGTGCGCCTCTAGTGGCAGTGTTTGCCAGTTCGGAATGAACAAGAACTGGGCGTCGGCGGCGGCTTTGATGCTGGTTCACTTCTAAGACCAGAAGATGATGAAATGGAAAGTCAATATGTTGAAAAGGTGAGCAGAAGAAAGCAGAGGGATGGGGCGGGGGCGGGCAGAGATGAGAGGGGCAACAGAGGCAGCACCTAGACAGGAGGGGTAGACGGAGGATTGACAATGTGAATACGGCAAGTTGGCCCTTCCAGAGCTGAGATGGAAACCCCGCGGTTTGTCATCACACGGATCTCTCCATTTCTCTGTGCGTTGGGAATTTTTCATGTTGGGCGGTTTCCAGGCACTGCCTGTTGCCTGCCACAACTTCAGAACCAACGCCTAATGCTCTTTTCCTTAACTTTCTGTGGTGGCCCCACTTTGAGATGCTGAAAACACGGAGGGCCTTTGAGAAGATGATCTCTGGCTTGGGGTGTGGCTCAAAGATGGGTGGCATCCCCAGCTCTGTAGAGGAGGAGCAGGAGAAGAAGGAGGTGGAGGGGTAAGGGGAAGAGGAGAAAGGGAGGAGGAGGGAGGGGAGGAGGAGGGAGGGGAGGAGGAGGGAGAGAAAGGAGAAGATGGGAAGGAAGAGGAAGGTGAGTCGAGGAAGGGGAGAGGAGATCCTACTGTGGAGGTTTTCATTCTAAGTGGACATTAGGCCACTAGTCCTTAAATGGAGCGAGCCCACAGCTGAGCCCTGAGTTTCAGCGAGCTACATAGCCTCTCAGAAGTTTTGTCTCTTCTGTCCACCCTACCACACCTGCCCTCCACCCCAGGACAAGGCGGCCATGATTCAGATGCTCAAGCTGCTCCTAATGTTCTAATTGGCACATAGGCAGCCCCAGGTCTCTGGAAATCCTCTAGGTCTGGGAACTGTGTATGTGTGTGTGTGTGTCTGTGTGTCTGTGTGTGTGTGATGGGGTGAGGTGGGGTGGGAGGGGGGAGTGCTGATCGCTGTAGTAGGCCTGACAGAGAGCACCCACATGTGTGCTGTTTCTTGGCATCTACAAACCTCAGCTGGGTAGGCGTGGCCATCCACCACGTGCTCCGAGCCCCACGCGTTGGCTGCTCCCCAGTGGAAGTGAAACTGCTTCAGCCTGTAGTGGTTTCCCAGGGGCCCACCGCTGATCCCTGGAAACAAGAGAAGGGACACTCGTGCCTGGGCTTTGTGTGGGCTCAATATTGTGCGTGCATGTGTGTGTGCGTGCGCGTGCATGCATATGTGTGTGTGGTGGGGGGTGACAGAAACATTCTACCCCCAAGGGATTGGCCAGGGAGGTCTGTGAAAGGTGAACCTGGCCTGGGTTTGGCTACCTAGGCCCAAGGGTGGTGCCTACCACAGCAGGGGCCTAGTAAACTCTAGGATAGGCAAAGACCATGCCTGAGCACAGCCGCTGGATGGCAGTAAGGATCTTGAGTCCCTGCAGGTTGTGCCGCACATAGACACGGGTGGGGTTTCTGAGATGTGCTAATCCTACAACGGTTTCCAAGAGTTTCTTTTCTTCTGAGGCAGGAGCTCATGTAGCCCAGGGTGGTGCTGAACTTCATATGTAGCTGAGGCTGATTTTGAACTTCTGATCCTCTCACCTCTACCTCCTGAGTTCTGGGATTACAGGGGGGTGTCATTACATCTGCTTTTCTGCTGTTCTGGGGTTGGACAGAGACAAAGTCACTGCTATCCAGTGTAGGGCTGGGAACCCATTTGACAAGCTCCAGGTGACTAATCACATTTTGTTCCTGCTGGTGACGTATTTTCATTCAGCTGCCAGGTAGAAATCATGGAGCAATGCTGCTCCCTAGCTTCCTCTTGGGATCATGCTTAGGTGGCTTTCTTAGACAGCCCAGGACCATCTGCCCAGCAAACAGGACCCCACCCACAATGGACAGGATCCTTCCACATCAGTTAGCCATCAAAGACACCCCCCTCAGGCCAATCTCATCTGAGAGATCCTTCTATTGACATCCCTTCTAGGCTGTGTCAAAGGCTGACCAGAACACAGAGCGGCAAACGGGGACAGTGCCATGTTGGGTGGAAGTGCCGTTGAGCCCTGACTGCCACCCGCTGATGGAGTGCGCTTGCTTTTCCCTGTGGAAACAGCTTGCAACAGATAGCACCACACAACACACTAGGCACAGAGGTAGCTTGTGCTTCTGACAGGGTCTGGACAGGTCCCAGGCTGGCACAATCTTACTATCTCCTTACTCCAGAGCAAGCTGATCACTTGAGAGTGTCGTCAGTCTCATGCAGTTTTAGAACTTGTGCTGTTATCACCTAATTCCAGAGACGGCTCAGCACTTAAGAGCCTTGGCTGCTCTTCTAGAGGACCAGGAGTCAGTGCTCAGCACCCACGTGGCAGCTCACAATCATCCATAACTCCATATTTGGGGGATTTGATGCGCTCTTCTGCCTCCATGGCCACCAGACTCACAAGAGGTGCACAGACACATATGTAGGCAATAACCCCATACACAAAAGTTTTTATAAATATACAGACGAGGACCAAGAAATAAAGAGATGGCTCAGTCAGTAAAGCGCTTGCTTGCAAACACTTTAATATCCGAGTCTGGGCAGGGTGTAGTGGCGCACACCTTTAATCCCAGCACTCGGGAGGCAAAGGCAAGTGGATCTCTGTGAGTTCAAGGCCATTCTGGTCTACAAAGTGAGTTCCAAGATAGCCAGGACCATTACACAGAGAAATCATGTCTCAAAAAAAAAAAAACAAAAAAAAACAAAACCAAACCAAACAAAACCAAAAGGCAAGGTAGATGGCTCCTGAGGAACAACACCTGATTCGAAGAAGTTATTCTCAGGCTTCTACACGTACACACACATACACACATGTACACACATGTACACACATGTACACAACACATTCACTGCTGAATTATATCTGGAATTTTTAATACCCAGAACCAGTCTTCTCCCCAGTGAGGGACAGTCTGATCAGCAGATGCCAGTTACACACTGGGTATTGAGGTTCTGATCAGCAGATGAAAGGGTCCAGGCTAAGTCGAATCTATGGTGGAGTTTACATTCCAGGATTCTGTTTGATTTTTCTTGGGGTACAAATGCAAAAGGGGCAGTTTTCACTGGAGGGGTGACGACATGCTAGGGTCTCCACCAAAATGATGATGATGAAGCCAAAGAAGGAGCAGCTGCATGTCTGCCAGGCCTGCACCAACAATCCTTGCTGCAAAGTCACCCGCACTCTCCCTTCCTGGGGGCAGGGATGACCAGGATTTGGTCAGAGGCAGAGGGAAGGGGCTCCAGGTTCCTGTCTTCCAGGACCATCCTTGAGTACCCACCTGGATTGGAGAAGAAAGTCACCCCAGACTCCATTAGGACAAGAAGGAACCTGAACTCCAATCATGGCCCTTTGATAGATGAAGTCTAAACATCAACTTAGCCCAACAGAGGCCAGGCCTTGGCTCCACACTCTCCCTGACAACATCAGAAGACCCTTTGCAAAGTAGCCCCTGTGCATTGGAGGTCCTGTCTGCTTCAGTGAAACACGGCAGCCCCTCAAAAGTGGGTAGTCTGATGAAGGGCAGCCCTGCAGGGTGCTGGGGACCCTCTGGGACAGGAAGTGATGACTCTTCTCTCATACCAACCAGGAGGCATCATTTATATCTGAGCAAGGAGCTTGCTAGTTCTGTGGGGACTACTGTGCACTGGGGCTGAGGCAAGCTCACTGGAAAACAACCCCAAAGGCTGAAGTATATAAGGGAAGGCCAGACGTGGTCATGCACACATTTAATCTCAGCACTCTGGAGGCAGAGGCAGGGAGATCTCTAAGAGTTCAAAGACAGCCTGGTCTACATTGTAAGTTCAAGGCTGGCCGGGGCTACATAGGGACATCCTGTTTGGACAAAAGACAAGGGTGTTTGAAGAGAGAGAGTACTTGGTGACCTGCCGAGGAGGCTCAGTGGAAAGGCAAGTAGGGTTTCAATGTCTCCCAGCAAAGGAAAGTGACCACGTGACTTGCACTGGGCAGAAGAGGCTCCAGGGAAGCAAAGTCGTGAGAGAGCAGCCAGAAATCTGGGGATCTCTGGGACTCAGAGCTTGGAGCATTTTTGAGTCCAGTGTACTGCGGCCATAGTGCAACCTCATCGTCCACGAGTGCACATACACACACGGAGGAGCAGTCTTGGGCCCTTTCAAGTGAACAGAAAACTCACTGCGTTGGTGTTTCTAAAATTAGCCCTGACAGCCAAGAGGTAAGTGTGCTTATTTCAGGACTGGGAAGGCATCCTTCATGGCCTTTCCATGTCTGGGTCTGCAGGCATACAGGTTCTAGCTGGACCCCTTCTACAGAGATGATCCTGGCCTGCCTAGCTCTTCGCACCTTCCAACTTTGGGTTCCCTGTTCAAGAGTAGAGTTCCAGTAAGGATTGAGTCCCACGGGAGGTATACTGTCCATGTAGGAAGCCTTCCAAGGAAACAGGACAATAGCCGCTCACATGTGTGTTTGGGGTAAGATAGCTGGGAACAAGTGTCACTGGCCAAATCTCCCATGCCCCCGTATTTTGTTTTCTGGTCTCCAGCTCTTCTAGCTGTCGGTGGTGAACAATCAGTGCATTGGGTGAGGTGACTGAATGACAAGCTATAGGCTGGACACTATGTAGGGAACTGGGTATTTCCCAGGGGACAACTCTACAGGACAGGCACTAGAAGGCCACCGTTGAGATGAGGACACGGGGTGTCTCAGGCTTCTGTGACTGTGATGAAAAGCACTATAATAAATGATTTAGGGGGGAAAGGGTTTATTCCACTTCCCCATCACAGCCCATCGCTGAAGGAAGTCAGGACAGGAACTCAAGAAGGGCAGGAATCTGGAGGCAGGAGCTGATACAGAGGCCAGCGAGGAGTGCTGTTTACTGGCTCGCTCTCCATGGTTTGCTCAACCTGCTTTCTTATAGAACCCAGGACCAGCAGTCCAGGGTGTGGCCACGCCCACAACGGGCTGGGCCCTCCCACGTCGTCATTCGAGAAAATATACCAGGCCAATCTGGTGAAGGCAGTTTCTCAATTGAGTTTCTCTCTGCTAAAAGGATTCTAGGTTATGTCAAGATGACACAAAGCTAACCAGAAACTTAGGAGTTAAGGCATATGTTTCAGGTGAAGTGTTGACCCCAGATCCTGTTAAACACTTCAGCAATTGATTTTGGTTACAAAGTTCAAAGTCAAGCACTGCTACTTTCCTTGGAGGTAAGGAACTTGAGAGAAGGCTAAAGAATCAGATGAAACAATGTATAACTGACTTTTTTTTTCATAACGATAACACAGTGACTTTTTTAAAAGAAGAGGCAAGCCGAGTCTTGAGAAATAGAGCCCTTTGCTTGCCAGCCTCAGCCCCCAGACTGCCCGCAGCATGGTTTGTCCACTGAGGCCTGACTACCCGTCACCCTGTGTTCTCTGAGAGCAGGTACTTCTGAGATAATGGAGATAAAATTGGGCGATTACATCAGCCAGAGTCAGACTCTCCAAGTAAAATAACAGTGACATTCAAGGCTAAGAGTGCCCAGCGTTGGTCACCTCTCTGTTACAAGTCTGTTAATAGCCACCTATTTGTAATTCCAGTCTTTCCCCAGGACACAGTGGGCTTTTGGCAGGAACAGCAGCTGCTTTAGGGCTTAAAATTAGAATAAGAGAAGCTTGGGAAACTTCTTGTTAGTCAGAACCAGGAACAGCAGAGGATCTCGCAAAGGGTAGCATGTTCCCATGTCACCTCTGAATTTAACCAGTTGCCAACCTGTGAAGACCAAGGCCAAAGCTTCTCTGCTCCTGATCCTGTCTAGGTGAGGGCAAGCCACAGCTGGCCAACTGCTGTTGGCAGTGCTGAGCCCCACAGAACCCAGACTTGAACACCAGGCCAAGATAAGATCAGCCGGAGTGTGGGTTTTACTGAGGTGTTTTCTCTGTGTCTCATAGGTGACATTTGCAGCAGCAGAAGAAGACCTGTCTTACAGGAACAAGGGAAAGAAGGAACGCAAGGTCCCTGGTGTCCCAAAGGACTTGGCACGCCACAGCCTCTCACTGTTACTGTGACTACTGAGAACGTTACTCAGTAATGATAATGTTATAATTAAGGTTACAAATGAAGAACCAGCCTGCCTCCGTCTTAGGCTTA